GGTAATGAGAATGACCAAAACGATACATGGAGAGGCGTAGAGCAGTATGCTGCTGATCAATGGAGGATAACTGTTAAAAATGGTAGTGAAACAGCTCTTTGCTTAGATTGGTAGTTCGTTAATCAACATAAACTAAAAAGAATAATTATTACCTGCTCTATAATTATTCTTTTTTATTTTATTTATATACTTTAGATTGATCGAACCTTACTGGATTATTAAATGTTCCCATTGGAGCTTGATTATTTGTTGAAGTAGCTGGAGCATCTATAATACTATCTACAACATCATTTAAACTTTCTCCTGATGGATTTACAACAGTTGCTTGTTCTACTGGAAGAGTTGTTTCTGCTGATATAGGCTTACTATCTATTACTATTTCTTCGTTTGGAACTTCTGTAACAGGAACAGGATCTGGTATAGGTTGGGGTTCATTTATAACCACATTATTTATTTGTGGAGCAGAGGGTAAAGGATAGCTCATAGATGTTGGTTGTTGAACCTGAACAGGTTTTTCCTCTATTATTGATACATCATTAATAGGGGCTGGCCTTTGTTCATAAACACATCCACTTAATAATATGGCGCATGCACTCAAGATTAACTTATTCATTTATTTATTTCCTTTGATACAATATTTAATTATTTAAAAACTATCATATTTAAAATATTTTAACAAGAAAATGTGACCTATATTATTAATTTAAGATTATAGAGAGTTATTATTTAAAAAATATAAGTGGTAGACAATATCAGATTTGAACTGATGACCTTTGCCATGTCAAGGCAACGCTCTAACCAACTGAGCTAATTGTCTATTAAAGTGTCAGGTGATAGAATTGAACTATCAATGTATTTAATTTTAATATGAAATTAAAACGTAGTTTTCAGGCTTCGATAGCCTCGCCGTTACCAAACGGCCTACCTGACATTTTGGAGCGAGTAACGGGGATCGAACCCGTGTCTAAACCTTGGCAAGGTCTTATTCTACCGCTGAACTATACTCGCTGGTAGTGAGAGAGGGAGTCGAACCCTCAACCTCTGCATTATGAGTGCAGTGCTCTAACCTGTTGAGCTATCTCACCACTATTTAAAATTATTTCTTTAAACTAACTTTTATATTTGGCTTTATTTTTT